AAATCAGGACACTCTCCCCGTCCTCGCTCCATCACACGCCCACACAGGTCAGCTCCAGGCTGGCTGTCTCGGCTGAAGATGAAGTGCACCTTGGCTCAGGACAGAGATAAATAACTTAACATGGCATCCAGAGCTTTCTGGGGAAAAAGCCAGAAACCGAACACCAGAGAGATCCCACCACAACAAACCTAAGGGATTAAATACATTCTTTTGGCTGCTGGAATCTTACATTCCATGTTCTTGGAAATAACTGGGCCATAGGCTAATGCTAAGAAATCCTTTATAATAAAGATATTCAGGTTGTAAAGTGACTGTTGTTACAGGGTTTGACCTGAATAGGAAAAAAAGCTAAACGGGGCTTTCGCAACAGGGCTCTTTGAGGATGGCTGGTGCTAAATCTCCAGGGGAAAGAAATCGCAGCTCTCTCTAATAAAACTGTAAATAGCCCACACCCCACCCCTCCATGAGGAATTCTTTCTGTGAAAACCAGAGGCAGAGACAAAACACACCTGGGATGTAGAAAACGACATGGAATTCAGAGTCAAAGGGACCAGAGGCCAAGTCCTGGCTTTTCCACTAACGATTGTGTGACCTTGAGGGAATTCAGTTACGACTTTCAAGCCTCGATGTTCTCATCTATGAAATGGGCATAGGAGAGCCCTGACTTCAGTTACTGTGAGGAGTGAGATCGTATTTGCAAAAGCACCAGCACAGTCCTCGGCACCTAGTAAGTTCTCAACTGATCTTAGCCTTTCCCTCTTCTCTGCTGATGCCAACCTTTTAAATGCAATTTCTGAAACATCTTAACTTTTTTTTTTTAATTGCTTCAGTGAAAAATATTGCCCCTTCTGGCCCAGGAGGAAGAGCTGAAAGATTCCTGGGAAGAGAATCAGAGGGCTTCGTGGCAGTTCTACTTCTGCTACTTACAAGTCAGACCCTCCTGGGCTGTTCCCTGGGCTCTAACACAGGCTGCCTACCACACTCGCCCTCCCAGGATGGTACCAGGATGGTAACAAAGAGATCACGTAGGAGAAAGCACTTAGAAAACCAGGGAGTGGTCCACAGATGAAACAGCCATCATTTGAGTGCAGTTCATTCATAGACAGACATCTGCTTTACTTAAGGGGACCCCCGACTGTGGAGATGCTGCCAGTGTGTGAGCCACACCAGAGAAAACAAACTCCCCAAAAAGAAGAGATGAACCAGCTGCTCAGCTGGTGGGGGTGGAGGACTCGGCCAACAATCCACGTTCAACAGTGCTGGTGGATGCCGTCTCAAATCGGATGGAGACAACGTGTGCGCTCATCAGTCGCAATTGCTTGGGTCCCTTCTGAAACGAACAGCATTGGGGGGGGGCGGTAATGAAGAGTCTAGAGCAGGGGCCTGAATGGAGAGAACAGAGAATCTCGCAGGGTTTACTCGCCAGCATTCAGGGAGGACACCAGAGATTAAGGATACGGGCATCCCAGTCCCCGGAGAGGCGGACGGCAGTGTAGGACGGAAGCCAGCTTTTCCAGTATGCAGTAGTGGCTACCTCACCCCTCTTTGATTCTATCATCACAGTAATTACTATCATCACTAGCAACCATTTCTGAACTCTGACTGTCGACCGGGCGCGCTGGGCTACGTGCTGGATACGCCTCCTACCATTTCATCTTGACCACGTCCCTTGCCCGAAACAGGTGTCATTATGCCCGCCTTACACATTAGCAAATAGTTGTCCGAGTATCAATTTGGAAAATCCTTACCCTTAAGAATCCTTAATCCAAAATCCTTAAGACCAGGGAAAGGATGTAAGGGTCAAGAATATCCCCGTCTCTCAAAAAGGATTTCCCTTGATGTAATGTATGTGAACCAATGTTTCATTGGTTCACGTACAATAGAAGATAGAGAAAACGAAGCCGTCGGAAGGAGACGGGCAGTCACTCATTAACCTTGAAGTAGGACCCAAGCGTCCTCATCTCCAGCCTTCTTGGTGGCAGAGAGATTGGCCCCACCTTAACCCCGCTGGTTCAGGGTCTGGC